CCGCTGGGCTCAGCCACTACCCGGAGGTGGTGGCAGCTAGCCGTCGCCGCCCGCCCCAGAACTTGCGTCTCCTCCTCCGATCTGCGCTGGGGTGGGGGTGGGGGTGGGGGTAGGGACCAGGGGAGGAGCTGGGGGCGTGGGGAGGGCAGTCGGGGACAATCTCCGAGTTAGCACTTGAGTCCCAGTTGGAGCTGGCGGGGAGAGAACCATGACCTCAGTTCTGGCTCTAGAGTGCCGTCTCTGTGTGCCTCAGTTTACCCCCTTCTCAAAGGAGATGTCAGGGATCAGGTTTGCTGGGCTCTTTCCACATGCTCTCCTTCTCCCCCTACAAATTCCCTCCAGGTACGAAAGTTCTTGCCTCTTCCCGGAGGACGTCAGAACTACGGGCACCTGGTCCTTCCCTGCCCGCCCCTCCCCACGCTCCCCAGTCCGCCCCAGAAAGAGGAGCTCAAGGCACGTTGGGCTCCAGTCGGCCCGCATCCCTCCCGCGCGACTCCTTTCTTCGTCTCTCTCTGCCTGGGAAACGCAAGATCAACGCGCGGCGCGGCTGCAGAATCGTCTTCCTATTGGCCAGAGCCGGCCCCCGCCTCCTCCCACCTAGGCGGGGCCTCCCTGCGGACCCAGGGCAGAGTCTGGTTCCGCGACCCCACCGCGGGCGGAGTCGTCTTAAAGGGGCCGCGGCCGGATCTGGACCCGGTACGACTGCCCTCTCCGGACTGGCCTGGAGGGGTGCCCCGCGAGCGCAGGTCTCGGCTGCGGCTGAGGACCCGGTGGCTGAACGCTGGAGGCGGGGCCCTAGCCCGTCATGCTCACTGCACCTGCCGAAAGTACCTCCCACTAGTTTCGGGCGCAATTTCTCCTCTCCGCATTAGGAGCGGGGCGGGGCGCGCGCAGCACCGACAGCGAATACTAGCAACAAAAGCTCACATTTTCAGAGCAGCACGTTTCGCATGCCAAGCCTTTTACTCACATCTCGAGCCGTGCTCGCCAAACCCCTATAAGGGGCATAACCAGATCTGAGATCCTTAACCACCCCTGTGTGCCCTAGAAGGGAGCCTGCACCCTCACCCTTCATCCTAGACTCTCCAGCAGGGGGCCTGCTCATTAATTTATCGCGTTTTATCCAAAAGTACAGTCGGGATTCACAATCAAGACTCATGAAGCAGCAGTCAAGAGATCAAACGACGCGTTACGCTGGTTAAATCTGCGGGACACCAGATCTCTTCATAGTGTTGAAAAGCAAGAACGTACTTTGATGGGTGAGGTGCACCTGATGCAAGCCCCGTGGTATTTCCCATCGTCTTCTATACACGTGAAAGATGGACATTGAATAAGGAGGACAGAAGAAGGATCAGACATCTGAACTATGGTAGTTAAAGACTATGGAATGCTAGAAGAACAAACAAACCAGTCTTGGAAGACGTACAGCCAGAGTGCTCCTTAGAGGCAAGGACTTGAGACTCCATCTCATGTACTTTGAACATGTTATCAGGAGAGGCCAGTTCTTGGAGAAGGCCCTCATGCTTGGTAAAGTAGAGGGGCATGGAAAAAGAGGAAGACAACCAGTTAGGTAGTTTTGCACCGATGAGACATAAAACTTTCCTCTAGTTCTTTAATGCTTCCTACACTCCCTCCCCCCCCCCCACTACCATGACCCCAATTCTCCCTTACAAATCCAGCTAGACCAGAGGAGGTACACAGGTACAGATAAGAGCTGGAAACACAGGGAATCCAGGACAGATAAACCCCTCAGGACCAATATTGAGAGTAGCGATACCAGGAGGGTATGGGGAAGGTAGGGGGGGAAAGGGGAACCGATCACAATGATCGACATATAACCCCCCTCCCAGGAGGACGGACAACAAAAAAGTGGGTGAAGGGAGACAGCGGTTGGTGTAAGACATGGAAAAAAAAATCTAAATTTTCAAGGATTCACGAGGGAGGGAGGGTGGAGGAGGGAAGGAACAAAATGAGGAGCTGATACCAAGGGCTCAAGTAGAAAGAAAATGTTTTGAAAAGGATGATGGCAACAAATGTATCAATGTGTTTGACACAATGGAGGGATTGTGATAAGAGCTGTCTGAGCCCCCAGTAAAATGATAGAAAAAAGAAAAACAGGAAGACATTCGACAAGATGGATTGACACCGTGGTTGCAACAGTGGACTGTATCCTCAGAGGACAGTGAGGATGGCTATCATTCTGTACGTAGTACATGGGTCGTGAGTCCACACCACCCAACAACCACCACCACAACACAACAACGACGTCTTTCCCAATTCACTATCACGGACTCCATTCTGACTCACGGAGACCCCAAAGAACAGAGTAGAACTTCCCCTGTGGATTTCCGAAGCTGCAAGTCAGTGTGTCCCAAAGTGGGCAATTGCACCCCCTAGACTAGAACGATCCAGGGGCGCTGCCACGGCAGGCACCTACCTTTATCCCAGGAGCCTGGCTGCTGTAGTGGGTGACTCGTTGAGCGCTCAACCACGAGTTCAACAGTTTGCATTCAGGCGTTACTCAGAAGGACGAGAGATTCTCCTATAAAGAATTACCGTCTCCGGGAACCCACAGAAGCAGGTACCCCCTGTCCTATGGGGTCACTCTGAGTCAGAATCGACTTGATGGCAGTGAGTTCAGTTCAAACTTTATCCTGAATGACGGCCGGCCTATAGTCCCAAAGTTTTTCATTGCCAGGGTGGGTGCTAATTTTTTTTCCCTGAAAAGGGGACGACAGGCTTCTTAAGTTTAGAGACTTCCGTAAATCTTAACGGGAGCAGATAGTCATATGTGGAGATGACTGGTGGGTTCAAACCGGCCACCTTTTGCTTAGCAGCTCAGTGTGTTGTAACCCCATCATGCCACCAGTGCCCTTCGCCCGAGGTTCCACCCATGTTTGAATGAGAGGATTCCGAAGATGAGATTTGGGACTGGGGAACTGATTTAAGACCTTTGGAGGCAAGGGCGTAAATTTTGGGAAGGGCCAAGGGTGGAATGTTATGGGTTGAATTATCCTCCCCCAAATGTGTGTTGTAAATCTTCCACTCAATGCCCAGAGGATATGATCCTTGGGGAAGCAGTTAAAGAGGCAGCAGGATACACATTCACTGAGGGTGTGTCCAGACACAATCTCTTTTGAGATATAAAAAGACTGCACAGAAGCAGCCTATGAAGGCTGAGCCTTTCTTAACAGCAGGCTCTCGGAGTCAGGACTTCCAGGCTCTTAAGCTGTGAGAAGAGGAGCCCTGGTGGTGTAGTGGTTACAAATTTGGGTTGCGGTCTGTATGGTTGGCAGTTCAAAATCCCTAGCAGCTCTGTGGAAGAAAGGCAGGGCTTTCTACTCTGGTATTGTAATCCACAGGGGGTCAACCATAGGAGTCAGCATTGACCTGATAGTTGTGAGTGAGAAACTGTGAGGAAAATCAATTTCAAAGTCATCCCCTGCTGTGATAGTGTCACTAAAGAAGTCAGACATATCTCTAAAGGTGGACCATACTTGCTATAGTACTTGTTGCTAGGTGTCATGAGGGGGTTCCAGCCCATAGCGACCCTGTGCACAACAGAACAAAACACTGCCTGGTCCGGCAACATCCTCGCAGTTATTCCTAGGAGATCATTGTTGCAGCCATCGTATCAATCCATCTCGTCGAGGGTTGTCCTCTTTTTTTGCGGCTCCTCTGCTTACACGTGAACATGTGTTCAGGTGTGTTCTATACAGGTGTAGCTCCATGCAGGTGTGGACCGTACTGGTGGTGGGGTTTTTTCTCACTCAGGACTCCCCATCTGGGTCTGCCTCCGGCAGGAGCATTTATGCACAGGTGCTTACCTGTCCCATGTGTCACTTGTGCCGTCCTGAGGTGTGTTCGCAATACAGGTGTGACGGCCCTCTGCGGACCCACGACAGGAGGGGGTGGGGTGGGAGCTGGGTTACAGGTGCGTCCGGGCCGAGGCCCCGCCCCTGGTCCGGCCCCGCCCCCTCACCAGGCTCAGGTGCATAATCCGGAAGTGCGCTAGACTCTCAGGTGAGTGACTAAACTTTCCGGGTCACGTGAGCGGGCGGAGCCGCTTGGAGACGTCCGGAGCGAGCGAGCTAGCGACAGACAGATACACCGAGGGTTCGAGCGTGGGACTCAGACAAGAACCGTGTGAAGTGGGAGACGCCCGGGCCAGGTAGGCAGGTGAGGCCCGCGACTGGGCCTGGTGACCCTGTCCCCTGCCCGGTCCCCGGCCCCGAATGGCGCGGCCCTGGGTTAATCTTTAATCTCTGACCTCCGGCGGCGGGGGCGGGGGCGGGGCGGGACTCTCAGTGGCCTGGCGCCTCTCCCTTGGGCTGTGCCCGGGGCAACCGGGCTCCCAGCGCAGGGCCTCACTGCTCCTCCTGCCCCTCAGGTGCCCGGCGGCGGGGGACCCCCCGCCCCCCCGCATCCCCCGGACCGAGATGCGGTAGGAGCGGCGCGCGCCAAGCAGCTCTGTCCCCGGCGCCACCCACCTGTCGCCCAGCCCATGGCGAGCCCCGGCCTGGGACTGCTCCTGGTGCTCGGCCTGCCGTTGCTGCCGGGCCCCTGGGACCAGGTTTGGGGACAAAGTAGGTACCTGTGGGAGGAGGGGTGGTGGACATCGAGGGGAGGGGCCGGGACTCGGGGGTCCTTGCTGGGGGCAGGGTACACCCCGGAGGGCACGGTTTAGACGTGCTGGTAACTGGGCCATAGGAGGGCCCAGGATTGGGGCAGTCCCTCCAGAAACTGGGAGCAAGTGATCATCAGGATCAGGGTGGAGGGTTTGCAATTTCTAGGCACTTTCCTTGGCAGATCAGAGCCGGTCTTTCAGAATTCTGGTCCCTGACACAGCTGGAAGTCCCGGCTGACAGGGTGGCACAGGAGACCTCTCTGAGTCTTGGTAAAGTTGAGGTGTCTTGGGTAGCTAGGGTTCGAGCCTGAGGCCTGCCTGGGGCCCAGAGCCCCTGTTGACCAGGTTGGCCTTATCTGTGTGCTGCAACTTACCTACCATTAGAGTCCTTGGATTCCGGGTTGAGAGCCCAGGGGGAGGGGCACTGTGGCCTAAAGGCTGAACCCGCCCAGATTTGAAAGGGCTCAGGGCCCAGCGGGAGGGAAACTCACACACAGTCTGTTCCCTGAAGGATTTCTAGACTCCGGAACTCCCTAGGGGCAGAGGGCAGCTCTTCTCAGTAGCCAACCAAAAACCAAACTCACTGCCAACCAGGCTGGCGCATAGTGACCCTATGGGACAGAGTAGAACTGCCCCTGTGGGTTTCCAAGATGGAAACTTCTCACCGGAGTAGAAAATTCAGCTTTCTCCCTTAGAGTGGCTGGTGTTTTGAACTGCTGGCCTTGCAATTAGCAGCGGAACAAGTAACCCACTGTGCTACCGGGGTTCCTGGCCTGCTCAAGGGCAGCAGATTTGTGTGCGTGTGGGAGTGGGGGTGGGGAGCACTCAGATGGCCTCTTTAAGGAGAGAGGACTCACTGGGCAATGTTAAGGGGGCCCGCTGGGCAGTTAACTAACAGGTTAAGGGCTCCAGTTCAATGCGGGGTACCTAGGAGGAAAGGCCTGGTGACAACCTCCCCCCCAAAAAAAATCCACCATGGAAACTCCTACTCTGCACCCCTGTCATCTGAGGCACATTGGATTGTCTTGAGCCAGAACAGATTAGACATCAATTGAGATGGAAAGAAGCATTGGAGATTAATTTTTCTTTTTCCTTTTTTAAAACATATTATTAGGGGCTCATACAACTGTTATCGCAATCCATACACACATCAATTGTGTAAAGCGCATTTGTACATCATTCTCAAAA